CACCCATGCTATCCATCCCACCCATGTTATTCATCCCACCCATGTTATTCATCCCACCCATGTTATTCATCCCACCCATGTTATTCATTCCACCCATGCTATCCATCCCACCCATGTTATTCATCCCACCCATGTTATTCATCCCACCCATGTTATTCATCCCAACCATGTATTCATCGGGGCCCTGCTATACATTGCACCCCCGATATTCACACCAGATATTTATCCTCGTCTTAATATTCATTGCATCCCTGATAGTCACTCCTAATATTCGTCACATCCCTGCTATCATCGTTCCCCTGATGTTCCTCTACTGTTCCTCATTCCCCAGATGTTCCTCTACTGTTCATCGTGCCCCTGATGCTCCTCTACTGTTCCTTATTCTCCTGATGTTCCTCTACTGTTTATTGTGCCCCTGATGCTCTTCTACTGTTTCTCGTTCCCCTGATGTTCCTCTACTGTTCATCGTGTCCCTGATGTTCCCCTACCGTTCATCGCACTCCTGACGTTCGCCGCACTACTTGCAGTGTTCCGGAACGTGCTGCCGGCGGCGACGACGTTCGCCTTCGTCGTCGACAAGCCGTGCTTCAGCGTCGGCCGCACGTCGGACACGATCCGACCGCGCCGCGACCACAAGATTATGCTGTCGTTCGACGCTAGCCAAGCGAAGGCGCCGGTCACCGGCAAGCTGACCGTTATGACCGTCCAGTCGGCGGGCAGCGGCGGCGGCAGCAGCAACATCAGCTGGGTGTACTACCTCAGGGGCGTGCCCGTCTAGACTCTGTTGAAGGTGGTGTTACGTGCGACAGTCGCGTGTGCGTGTGCGTGCGTGTGCGCGTGCGTGTGTGTGTGTGTGTGCGTGTATGTATGCGTGCATGTGTCTGTCTGTGTATGTGTGTGAGCGCGTGCGTGCGTGCGTGCGTGTGTGTGTCGTAATGTATTAACCTAGGTTGGCTGTTAAAGTTTACAGAAATTGTAATAAACGTGTTTACAGTTATTACGACTTTGCGTGTATCTATCTATACTATAATGAGGCTAATCTTGTGTGTCAGTGTGTGTGTGACTGTGTGTGTGTGTGTGTGTG